TTGGCCAAGTATGCATGATGCAGAAAACATTAAGCATAATTTATCAGCCATAGCAGTAACATTGAAAAAGAAAAAAGAAACCTGTAATTGTATAGAAGTGGCTGATGTGTCTAAAGTGCAAGAAAAATATCAGCTGTCCATTCCTCAGTTCATTATTCTTGAACTTTTCTTTGACACTTCTTGTTTCCCTCTGCCCTGTTTTATTCTTTCTTATTCTGTTGCAATAACAGCATGCATGGATGGTTTCCCTCTTGCCCTTGCTTTTCTCAGTGCTACAGATTCGAGCTGTACCGATTGCATCCTTAATTCGTATGCTGAATTCCACTATGGGTTATTTGCAAAACGGAAGCAACACATGGACAGAGACAGGCATATATGCATATAGACTGGTAGCAAATGGAGGAAACTCCAGGATGTTCTGCTATTTTGAAGGAGATGCTATTTCTGTTATTGGCCTTCAGATAAACTCCCTCAGCACAAACGGGCTACTATAATTTCCAGAGTTCCTCTGATTGGGATGTATTGAACTATTTATATTTGCTCCGTCCCTATGTTCTTTCATTAATCACATAACAAGTCTTCTATTTCTCTGCAGAACTCTAATTATCTCTCCACTGCACAGATGTTTCCTCATTTAGATGTTTGGTGTGTGGCTATTTGTCATTTTGATTTCACATAGATTTCAGTTTGGATTATATCACTCTAATATCTTTGCTGCATCTGAGCCCTTGGGGGTTAGTCTGTCCTCTCTGGGTACCAAAAAGATGGATGTGGCCTAGATAGGTCCTGTATAAAACTGTGCTGGGAGTGTTCTGAAGCGATCTAATGCTTTGAGCTGCAATTCTGCACACATTACACTTATTTCCCTGGCAAAGCCAACCTGAAGAAAATATTGCCATCAAATTATTACTTACAGCAATATCTGGTAAATGATAGATATTCTGCATATTCTTTCTATAATGAAAACAAAGGAGACCATCAAGAATCTGATTTTGTAACGACAGTGGAAAATATTGAACTGGGCAATTGGATTTTCCAGTGATGGCTTTAAAAGTAAATATTCCCAAATCACTTTTGTCTTTCTGCAAAATTCAGATTGATAAAAGTTCTATAAACCTGTAAGGCTTCATTTGCAGCCCAAACCTATGCATATTCATGGAGAATAATGTGACATGGATTCAGGGGTGCTAATTCTCTCGAAAGAATGCCTCAAAGTGAAGTCTGAGCACAGTTACAAGAGAATAAGAATCAATGAATGAAATTTTAGTTTTAAAACTGCAGATGTTAACCAAATTTATAATCAGTACTACAGTATATATGTTTCGGATCATATTTTATTAATTTTAAAACTAAAATTTATTCTCTTTTATATTGTATATTTGCAGAATTCTGATAAACGCTTGTCTTAAAAATCCCTATAGTTTTCATTTGGGCTTGCTATTGAGTAAATGTCCATGAGATTCCAATCTAGCTAAACTCCTTTTTGTCTTTGTGTCCACCATCTATTTACACTGAAGAACAAGAAAAAGAAATGGGATTTGAACCCAGAGGGGAAGATCTGCTTGGAATCACATAGTAGGCATCCCTGTTTACCCATTTTTACTTGATAGCCTTAGATCCTGTTCCCACAAAAGCAGCTGTTAGTTAAGTCACCTCCCCAAGAGTTGTCATGTCATCTGAGCACAGACCTTCAGCACAACATGGGAATTTAGAATTCCTCTAATAAAAACAGCCAGGTTTTGCTTCTCAGCTCCTTCCTGCATGGAATATGTATGAGATGGCATGGCTTCCCATATCTATCCTAGGATTTTATTTTTCTATATATAAATTTGATTTATATGCCACCCTTCTCCGGAGACTCAGGCGGCTTACAATGTGCTCAGCAATAGCCTTCATCCTTTTGTATATTTATACAAAGTCAGCTTATTGCCCCCACAACTGGGTCCTCAGTTTACCTACCTTAGAAAGGATGGAAGGCTGAGTCAACCTTGAGCCTTGGCGAGATTCGAACCTGCAGTAATTGCAGGCAGCTGGACTTAATAACCAGCTTAATAACAGGGTGCCTTAGACCACTGTACTACCAAGGCTCATATACAAAAGGTGAGCCAGCATCTTAAAAAGTCACTGGGATACCAGTCAAGATTTTATGGCTCAACTGAAATCAGGTTCCTGGGAGGAGTGCCAGACTCAACTAACTTTGCATCATGCAACTGGGAGCGGGGGAGGCAGGGCATACAAAAGATTTCTCAGAAAGGTGTTTTCTGAAGCACTCTCAGCATGGATGCTTGAACTTTGATTCTATCCTGGCTTAAGAAGGCAGTCTCTGGTTTCGGAGCATCAGTTCCCCACAAGCTATAAAGCAGCGGGGTTATGGATAAAGAGACACTGAGGTTTACTTAAACTAATTTAATCTAAAGGCGAAGCAAGCCTTGCCTACTTGAGCAATGCATGTAATCAAGTAAATATAGTACATCTGCAGTCAATAGAATTTCTCAGATATACTGGGCCTTGTCTTTGTCTTTTGGAACACAAGTGAAAAACAGTCTTCCTTGTTTGTTTAGATAGGGGCAGTTCATTGAATTATCCAGTACTTACTTAAATGTCAGGATAAGTTTAATAATGGATAATGTTAATAAAAGATACTTTTAATTTCAAAAAGTTAAAAGTACCTTTTAGTACTTTAAATGCAATTATTCTTTTACCCAAGTATAGAGTTTTTCATAACTTTGATTACAATTACAATTGCATGTTGCTTATTAATTGCCCATAAATATTCATTCATACATACATATACATACATACACATACATACATACATAGATTAAAACTTCACAGATAATATGTTTTCCATGTCCTCCTCTGGAAAATTGCTTAAAAGTTTGCAAAAGACTTTCTTGGGAGCCAAATCCCAGCTCAGTGTTTCTGATCAACTTCTAATGGAGGTTTTTTTAATCAAAACTCCCGGAAAGTAAGAGAATTAATTTTTTTTCACGCGCACACCATGGTGCAAAGAATTTAGTCCATCAGTCAAGTCACTTATTTAAAGGCATACTCCTAACCCCCATTACATAACCTTGTCAGAATAGTGTTTGTGCACACGGGAAGAACTTTTTAAAAAATCACCATGAAGAGGCAATATCCTTCCCTATGCTATTGCCGTAAGTTTTAAAATAGGATGTGCCATTTTGCTAGCCGCAATTAAGCCAAATAAACTGCTAAATGCAGACAACAGTGAATCCCAATTAAAAAAAAAAAACCAGGAATAATTTAGGTTCGTTAAGATTACTTCCAGATGAAGCCTTTATGGCAAATTTGCGTTATCCTCAACGTGTATTGTGTAGAGGGAGAGGGAAGGAACGCTGTGGCTGTCATGTTCCATTTGTAGGCATTCTGGATTTCTTCTCATACGGTGTTATGTTAAGGGGTTGGGGAGGGAATCGGAACAGCTGCAGTATTTTGCCCAGAAACATTAAGAATCGCTTGTGTGAAAGCAGGTCTACGTTTGTGTGAAAGCAGGATGGGTTATTATTATTTTTTTTTTTAAAAACTCCTATTTCAGGTGTAAAGAATGCTTTCTCTCTCTTCAAGGCTGCTACTGCAGGGAAAAGCTGGAAACGCTTCTCCTCCAACTCCAAAGGCGGAGGGGGAGAAGGACTGAAGGAAGCTTAACTCCAATCGTTTCCCTGGTTCTCCCTCGGCCGCCCCCGTTAACAACCGCGAGAGGAGGAGGTCGGTCGGGCGGTCGGGCGAGCAGGTTCTCGGTGGGAGCCCAGCAGTAAGTCTTCCTGTGGGCAACCAACCCTCCACTTGTTTCTCTCTTTTTTTTCCCGCCTTGGACGTTTGCCCTGTTTTCGCCCCGTCCTTCCAAGCCCAATAGCCACGCGTTTTAATCGCTCGGCTGTTTGGCTGAAGATCAATACCGGCCTTTCTTTTTCTTTTTTTTTTCCTGCCTTCCTCACGGAGTGACTAATCATCGCCACAAGCCGGCTACTTTTCCTCCCTCAGAGTTGATCAGCACGTGAGCCTCTTGCTCTCCTCTCCTGCCGATTCTCCACACAGAACCCGCAGCGAGAAAGGGACGAGCGAATAAGAAGAGCGGCGGCTGCAAATCCTCTGCCGGAGAAGGAAGCGTCCATCCACTCATTCCCCATCCCTGCGCCGCATCAGACCCGAGGGGATCCCTCCCCCTCTTCCCCCCTCCCTCCCTCCCTTCCTCCACACGCACACACCAGCAGAGCCGCCCGGAGAAGCCGCTTTGCCGCCCCGAAATCTCCCTCCCGCCGGAGCTTCGCTACTCCGCCTCCCAGCTCCGATTGTGCCCACCGGGACTTCGACGCGCTTCCAGGGCCGCCCTTCTGGCAGGGCCGGCCGAGGAGGAGGAGGCGGCGGCGGCGCTTGGAAGAGCCCGGCACCCTCGCCTTTCCGTTCCTCTCACAGTCCCACCGCTCCGGGAGTGGGGAAAGCGTCAGGGAAGGGATGCTGAGCGGGAAGCGAGAAAGAAGGAAACAGCGGGAAGCCTGACAGCGCCGGCAGAAATCCGGAGCGGCTCCTGGAAGCGGCCGGAGTGCCAGTCCCTCTTCGCCGCCTCGCTTCGGGCTCTGGCCAAGAGAGCCGAGAGTTCCGGGAGGGTCCCGCCGGTCCTGAGGCGCCTCGCCCGCGGGTGGTCACCGGTCCCATCCGGCTTGCAGAGCGCGGCGCAATCTTCCCCCACCCACCCACCCCCCTCTCCAAGGTGTTGGGACCACGGCGGCCGATCCCCTCCCCTCCTCGCCAGGTGCCCGTCCGCCTCCGCTGCGCCGAGCTTCCCAGCGCCAGGAAAGCGGGGCTCCCGCCTTGCGCCCTGCCGCCCGCTCCATGGCGAGGGCAGCACAGGCTGAGTCTCCGCGCCGGGGGACGCGGCGCCGGCGGGGGAAGCCCGGCGTCCGCTGTCCCCCGCTGCCACTGCCATTGCTGTGAGGGCTGTAGCGCCGGCGTCCCGGGCGGCGAGGCGGGAGGGCGGCGCGGCGGCGCCAGCATGAAGTCGCTGATCTTGAGCCGCTTCTTGGTGCTGCTGCCTTGGGTGCTGCTGGTGATCCTCATGCTGGACATGGACGGCGGCAACCGGCCGCCCCGTCCGTCGTCGTCCCATCTCGCCCGGCGGCCGCAGCAGCCCGCGCTTCGCCAGGAGGCGCCTCGGTGGCGGGAGGCCGAGCTGCAGCAGCTGCCTCTCATCTATGCCATCACGCCGACCTACAGCCGGCCGGTCCAGAAAGCCGAGCTGACGCGCCTGGCCAACACCTTCCGGCAGGTGGCGCGCTTGCATTGGATCCTGGTGGAGGATTCGGCGATCGGCACCGAACTGGTCAGCCGTTTCGCCGCGGGGCTCGGCCGAGGGGGCGGCCCGCCCTGCACCCACCTCCACGTGCTGACGCCGCGCAGGTACAAGCGGCCGGGGCAGCCCAGGGCCACGGAGCAGCGCAACGCGGGCTTGGCCTGGATCCGCCAGAGGCACCAACATTTGCCGGCCCCTCAGCCGGGGGTGCTTTTCTTCGCCGACGACGACAACACCTACAGCCTGGAGCTCTTCGAGGAGGTAACGGAGGCGGGAGAGGCGAGCTTCGCTTAAGGACCGGTCCCCCCCATCGACCGAGGGCGCCCGCCTTGGCGTGTCCGCTTCACCCCGACTTCAACGGGGCTCGCTCCGTTAGGTGCTTCCTCCCAGTTTAGGAGCGTTTCGCTTTTCCAGAAGAAACTCCGCACCGGTCGGGCAAAACTCTCTTTTTCGCCTTTCCCTTTTGCGGCCTTCAAATTGCCTCTTGGATGAGCGCTTCTGCCAGCGCTTCCGCGGCTTTGCATCCCGCGTGGTTTTTCTCTCGTCCAGCCAGGGCTTCCTCCACACCAGGCTCCCGGCGGGGCTGCCAGCTCAGACAGACTCGTCAGCTGGCCTGACCCGTTAGCTTTCCTTAAGCGACTAATGGGACCCCGCGCATCCTCTTGTGCTCCAGCCCCTTGGAACCAGATCGTAGGCGTAAAACTTAATTTCAGTACCAGTGTTGTGAGGTGTAAAAAAACAAGGGGATAGTTTTTAAAAATTATTATTTACAAAGTCTCTAACAGAGATCCTTCCTCCCTCCCTCCTCTGTCCCTCCCTTCTTTCCTTCCTCTCCTTCTTCCCTCCCTCTGTCGTCTCTTCCTTCCTCCCTCTCCTTCCTTCCTCCCTCCCTCCCTCCCTCCCTTCCTTCTTTCCTTCCTTCCTTCCTTCTTGCAGATTGAAGATTTTAACTTCCACTTAAATTTAGACATCAGTTAGATTTAATTGCAGTATCTTTTTCTCACTCCAAGCCAAAGCCTCAAACATTAGGGATACCCATTGTGCAGTGTCAGGGAACAGTTTGTCACCAAATTGTCTTTCATCTCTTTTCTTCAGCATCATCTTATTATTTCCATCTCCCAAGCCTTTAGCTGTATTATGCAGACGTTTTTTCTGCAGTGTTGGCAATGTCAGCTAGATGTTTTTAAAGAACCAAGTTTGATTCCTTTTCTCTTGCTGAAGTATCATAACTTCCCACAAAAACCCTTACATTTAAGCAAACAATTAAAACAAAATTAAGGTAGGACTTTGAGATTTGTAAAATAGTTTCAAGTATTACTTATTTTTGCTTTCTATCCTTTTCTTTTTTACTTTACATGTGTGAATGGTTACTTTCTTTTCTGCAGAGACCTCCTGACAGTACAGTACTGTATTGTAGGCTAGAAAGCAGGGCAATGGATGGAAAGGTTTTCTCCTCCTCATCATTTCTCAATAGCAGGTTTTGTTTTATTCTTTTAAATAATATTTGGGAAGTATTTGGGAAAAAAGTTGGAAGAAACAGGGAGGAGTTAGCCAGCCCCCACCAATTCCACCACCACCACTCCATTTTCCTCTGTCAGGAAGAAACCTTTTAAAGGAGAGAATTTTAACGCAGGCAGGGATAAGTAAGATTAATCAACTTCAGCAAGCAAAGTGTGCAATTTGCAAGAGTTGTCTTGTCAGCTATTGTATATTGCAAGAAAAACCCTGTAATATATATTTAAAAAATCCTCTCTCCTTCATCTGTACTACAAATCCCATCTCCTTATGTGTGAATCTTCATGTGTCCTACAGCCTTGAGTGGCATTTCTTTTCTGCTTTCGTGAGTCTAAATAGCGGGAAGTTTCTTTTTTTTTCTCCCCCAGCTGCATGTAACAGTTTCCTCCTTTTTTTGCAAATAAGTGTATTAAGAATCAATAGATTAAAGCTAGGCGCTGCGGAAAGATGCAGAGCACATCGAGTCCCCAAGAGCCTCTTCAGAAGGCTGCTCAACCCTGCCGATATGTGTTCAGGGTTCTAAATGAGTTTGGGTCTCTTTCAGCAGGCTTGCCTTTTGGCAGGTGCTGCTCCTCCCCTCAAGAGCTTGGCTTCCCTTCCTTGTGCGGCAGCTTTGTGCTCTGAAGCTTTCATTGAAAGTGGCTGAAAAGAAAAACACTTAGCTGCTTTGGATTTCTTTCCCATTAAGCTGTTGGAGGCTGCTTGGAAGCCTTGAATGCAGGGAAAGTTCTGGCGTTCATTTCTTAGTTATCTTCCCCTCTGGATGCATTTTCTTTTTGAACCAGTGATTTGCTCCCACATTGGGTTGCCTGAAGTAGTACTGAGGCATTAAAAACTCCCGGAAGAGACAACCTCCACTCCTTGAAAGCCTGAATAAATGAAAATGCAGCGAAGACCAGCAAAGAGTCCATAGAGATCCACTGAGAACTTGGCTGAGTAAATCTGTGATGATGAACCTTGCCTTTTCTCTGTTGTTAACCCATCTCTCCTCTTTTTTATTTTTTCAATTCAACAAGGCTTTTATATGAAAAAACCAAACAAGAGTTTAAGGGAGAGTTCCTTCAGCATGCTAATTATTGGCTAAATTGCCAAAAGAAAGGACACTTTTGCACAGCTTTGAGAGACCACTTGGCTTCTATCTCAGTCATTTTTTTTAGTGTCTTGAGAGGAGAGTGGTGTATTGCAAAGGCGAGTGTTGGCATTGGGTGTCATCTAAGAATGCCTCTGGGCGCCGTGTGGGCTAAGAGGCTTTCTTAGAAGACAAAAATGGTGGATGGCTGCAGCCCAGCAGATGGTTGCCTAGAAAAAGAATCCTGGTGTTAATTAGGAATGTCCTGGAGTCTCCAGGCTAGAGTCCATCCTGAGGGGACTTAAGAGGAGATGGAACAAAGCCAAAGATAGCTTTTTTTTTTTTTTTACTTGTCTTCAGTGTATTTTGTCCCAATAAAGGAAAACATTTGTACCTCAGGGTTGACATGAGTTTTTTTCTGATCTTGGTGGTTTTCTTGCAGATGTTTCCTAGTACAATGATGTACTAGCACTGATGATGTTACCTAGTTTGGGTAATGAAACGTCTATATTTTGTCTTACAAGGTTGGTCAGGTTAGTTGATTGTGTTTGTCTGAGCACAGTGTGCATACAGCTTGTGGAACATTCCTGAACAGAAGCAATTTTATATCGATCTGTTTCCCCCCTGCAGGATACTCTGGGAATTGTTGTTCAGAGGCAGGTTGAATTAGATGTAAGAGAACCGATCGATCTGTTCTAGATATAGAGTGCCAGATCAATATAGAAAATATATCGATCTGGAACCCTTTCCAAAGAAATATATGGCAATTCTTTGAGAATGTCACAGGCACATTTTACATCCTTAGTAGAAAGAAGGTGGGAATTGTTTTTCTCCAACTGATCATTCATCAGGATTTGTATTGGCTACTGAAAGCTTGGGAAACAGTAAAGATTTCTGAGTCACTGCCTTTTTGACTCCAAAACCTAAATCTATTTACAAAGCAGTATTGCTTTTCTCTCAGGGTAAAAAAACCCTTAAATTCTGAGTATATCCTGTTTTTGGCAGGGATCCAGTCAAACTGAAAAACAGGTGCATGAGAGGAAATTTATGTTCCCATCCTTCCAAAAGCAATTTTGACTGTTGATATCCTCACCAGGACCATTATCAAGGCTTACCAAAGAAAAGATGTTTAACATTCTCATGACCTATTTTTCTGCCTTTTCTTAGTGAATGGATTATGAGCTGTAGCTTTCAAGCTGAATGAGTAAAAAAAAAAAAAAAACTCCTTCAAAACCAGCCTGCATTTATGCATTATTGCTACTAAATTTAGCAGGAAACTAACTAGGTTTTCCTCTTTCTCAGCAATTTGCTTAGGAGAGGAGAGTGTTAAACCTTCTCCCACAATTCTGTGAGTCTTTATCCCTGTGAGTCTGTTAGAAAAAAAATGGGAACAAAGACTGAGCATCTCTTTTGGAGCAATATCTGGTTTTGCATTTTTAAATTTTCATTTATCTATAACACACTATGAAAGTGTGCAGAGTGGAATACTGTATTTTTCCTTTATTATATATCCCATTCTGATGATTCAAGAGTTTATCTTTCTGAAGCAAACAACAAGGTTTTTGTTCTAAGTTCTTTTGGTTTCCAGTGAGAACAAGAATATTTGATAAATAGGAGAAAATCTAGTTAACAAACCTGTTTGGAAAATAAAGCACATTAAAATTACTGTATTACTGATCACAGTTTTCTACAATGGTAGGATATAATTCGGGATCTCAAAAGAGTTTCATACTTTTTATAGTAGAATTATAGCTGCACCGTTTTTAGCCTAGTGATCATTTTCAAATACTGAAACATATAATGTTGCACCTCTTTATACATCCATATTTATTTAAGAATAGGATATGGTTTGATTGTAAATTGTGAAGAGTTAGGTGATGGAGGACAATTTTATCTCTGGCTTATTAAGATTCTAGGCTAGGAATATCTTCTGACTTTTGAATGAGTTTAGAACTTTGTGGATTTCATCTCATTGATATTGAAGCAAGTTGCTTATGGCTTGGTTGAAAGTCTGTTGATTACCTTGGAGAAATTAAGGAAAATATCTTGACTTCTGCAAAATATTTGATAAAGTATCCCTTGACATTCAGATGAGCAAACTAGTTAAATATGGGTTGGATGATAATGTTTATACAAGTGAATCACAGCTCATTCAAATATCAGCCACCAATAATGTCTTCCTTGTAAAACTGAAGTGAGTTATCAAGTGAATTGCATCAGGTTTGATCCTGGGATCAATAGCCATTAACATTTTTATAGATGATACTTTTCAAGTATCTGAAAAGATGCCACACAAAAGAAATTTAAGAGCTGTTCTCAATCATTCAAGAATGCAGGACACAAAATAATGAATTTAAATTACACATTCTAAAGAAATGTTAGATGAAAAAACATCATTAACAGTAAGACAATAAAACAGTAACTAAGAAATTAGTTACTGGATATTTTCAGTGCTTTAACTCGAACCCAACAACCAAAATGGCTCCCTCCAATTCTAGAATTCTGTGGAATGTATAGTAGCTCCTGCCCCCAAATCTGAAAAGTACATAATATTTTTGTCTCTGCATGTGTTTGTTTTGATAAAAGTTCACAACAGATTGACTGTGCTACCTCACTATCCATTTGTTATACTAATGATCAATTCCTGAATTGGGGTTGAATGGTTGCCATGGTAATA